GATTGGCGCTTCTTTGGGGCTGTCAGGACTCAGTAGAAGTGCCAGGATCAGCGCCAGGCTCCAGCTAGAGCTCAGTGCTGATCCTGGTGCTTCTGCTGAGCCCAGAAGAAGCGCCGATCAGCTGGAATGTTACAGCATCTCCAGGGTCTTGTGATTTATATTCAGATGCTTGGCAACTGATTCATATTCATGACGGTCATAGTGTCCCAGGGTCATATGAAGTGACCAAAGCCTGCTGCAACCACCCAGCAGAGGGGGGAATAAAAACCAAACACCCCCCCCGCACCCCACCCCCACTGCCAATCCTCAACAGAAATGCTCACAACAATGAAAACCTCGGACAGGAGGAAGAGCGCGGCTGGGCGGGCAGGCAGGTGTCTTGCTCAGCTGTGGCTTGGGGGGCACTTTTTTCAGTGCCATTGTAACTTCGAACAGTCACTAAGCGAACTGTTGTAAGTCGAGGACTACCTGTACTTTATCACTTTTTCCCTTTTTTTGGGGGGGTCATCAAGTTTTTGACACCTTGCTAGGCAACTGGTGGCACTTGGATGTTGCCATATCCTAAAAGTGGTACAATGGGTGAAAAGGTTGAAAAGCCCTGGCCTAATCAACTTGGCAACAAGTCACAGTTTCAAAAATGTACAATCTGGTAACTGTTCATCAGTACCGTAATTCCAGCCGAGGGTAACATGAGCTTTCTCCCATATTCAACCCTCAGGACTGTTCTTCTCAAATAGATGCTGAGAAGTGACAGTCTAAATGGGAAAACCCTTAATTTGCAGGTCTCCAAAATTTAGCCAGAACATTTGCTCTTGCTGCTGCTATTAAATCCTTCAGGCAATCAGTACGGCATATGTTTGACTGTCAGTAAAGTTTTATAATGCATCTTTTGGATATTCTAGAGCTGTGTGTGCTTCTATAACAATTCAGGAGAATTATTTTAGACATCATATGAACATAGCACCTCTCTCTTAATCATTAAATATCCCTTCTTTTTGCAGGCCTGCATGTGAACCTAAAAACAAGTTGAGGTTGTTTTAAGAGGCATTTCAACTCCTTAAAGCAGTTCCCTGTTTTAGGCTAGTGCATAAATATGAAAAAGATCTGCTTTAATCACTAGTCCTACTATAATTAGTTTGGTCAGAATTAGAGCCTTGTGCAGTCCAGAAAAATGTCCCAGGCTACAAAAGATAGTGAGAGAAGTAGCAAGCTAAAAATAACAAGCAAAATATTCATATCCTCATATGCTGCCCACACATATACATACAGTTAACTTTGCTAAATTCTACTTTCTCACCTAAAAGTATCAGATTCTGACCAGCTGGTTTTCATAAATCTTGTCACAAAATATTGTTACATTACAATTTTGAGAGAGATCTAGATCTTTGGCTGTTCTTGATCATGGAAATTCTTGTTCGGCTGTTGGTATTTTTATCCATCAGTCCTGTTTTGATCTTCTCATCGTCTTTGGTATATCATTGTTTTTGTCCACCTTAGCATGTTGAATTTCTACATAACCTGTGCATTCAGCTGGACTATATGTACTTCGTTAGACTTAATATAGTTCATTAGATTCAATATCTGACATTAGAAAAGGTCATTTGCTGAGCAAGTTTGCAAGGAAGTTCCACCTCATTGAACCATAGATTCTTCCTGGTTTTAGTAGCCCTTGGTTTATGTACGTCCAAAATATTCTTCCAGTTCCCTTCACCATCATATAAATGTTGCTTGAGCAGGGTCCGCAGGATTGTCTGGGACACTACACAACCTCTCCATGACCTGTTTTCTTGTTACCTTCTGGGAGGAGGCTTCGTGGTATCCGAAGCAGAACATCCAGATTCAGTCACAGTTTTGTTCAATACAGTATCAACCTTGTGAACGCTCAAGCTTCATCTTTCCGCTATGTATTCAAGATGGACAGTGATTAATATTTATATGTTACTTATATGTAAGGGTGTAGGTATATACATATGTATGTACATAGCATGCTTCTATGTGTGTTATGTACGTGTCAACTTTTGGTAGCAGGCAACATAATTTCATTTTTAATGTGTGCTAGTGTGCCCACAGTAAAAAATGACAATAAAGGTTATCTTATCTATCTTTGTTGCTGTTCTCTGTACTCTTTCCAGTTCCTTAGCAATTTTTCTTTTATTGTGGGGACCAGAACTGGGCACGTATTCCAGGTAGGATTATTACTAGCACAGCCTAGGGTAGAACTATTGCTTGCCTATTTTTATCTGCATTTCTCTTCTGCCCACTCCCTCAACCTCCGAACCATGGCATTTGACAAATTGGACCACTTTTTTCCTTTTTTTGAAAAGACAGGTGCAAAATAGGAATAAAGCAGTTCAGTCTTTTCTGTGCTGATAGGCAAGAACAGGTAAGATTCGTATGGAAAGTTCTTATTTCCCCTTTAAATTATACTATCCATTGCAACTTTATGGTCAACCAATAGGCCAAAAATGCTAATTTCAGGAAAGAGTTCCATTCCACAGTCAAATCGATACCCTTATGTACAAGGTGCCTGGCAGATATTTTTAGTTTGGAAAAGTGGGGTAACCTTTACTAATCCCTTCTATGACTCCTGTGAACAGAGCAAAGTTCTATGTACAGCAATTCTGTCACAAAAGGAAACAAAACTTACATTTAAAAAAGACCCAAGGATAAACTTTTCCAAACTGAGATTGAGAAGATCACTTTCCATTGGCATGGCTGATTGCTAGGCCTTGGTAAAACAATGGCAAATCTAGGAAGGCAATATTGCCAGAGCCATGAACAATTCCTTGGTCATTCCTTTTGTTGATCAAAGGCATAAGCCTTACACTTTTCAATGACTCTTTGGGTTTCCTTGGAACTTAGCTTGGTAATCAAAAGGAGTCTGGACAATTTTTTCAAGGCCATCAATCTGGTCACAACTGTTTTGTTAAGGCTAAAGAGGAAAGTGATTAAGCCAAACCAGGCAGCTCATCCAACCTTTCCCCTTTTTTTTGTCTGACTATGTTTTGTTAGTCTTGACCATCTATTTTGTCAGCGATTTATCAGGACTACCTAAGCTCCTAGTACGTATTCCTCAGGGCAGAAATTCCTATAAAAGGACAAAGAAACCCCATCTCTCCTTATCTTCTCCAGAAATCAGAAGAGAGCTTTCCCCTCTCACTTGCCCACATTCTCTTTATCTGTGTGTGTGTGTGGGGGGGAGAGAACTTAGTTTGGGCTATCTGTAGCCAAACACTCCATCATGGACTATACCCGATCCCAGCCATTGACCCTGAAGCTATGAGAGGCCTGTGAAGGCCATCTTTTTTTGTTCTTCTCAATCAAGTCCTTCTCGATTGAGACTATCTGAAAAAGTCCCTGCAGTTTTCTTGGCAAGGATTTTCAGAAGTAGCTTGCCGTCGCCTCCTTCCTAAGGTTTAGGAAAAGTGACTAGCCCAAGATCACAAAGCTGGCTTTGTGCCCAAGGCAGGACTAGAACTCACAATCTCCTAGTTTCTAGCCTAGTGTCTTAACCATTATACCAAGCTGGTTCTCCAGGATCATCTACTGTGTTGGATTTGTAGTACAGTCACAGAGAAGTTGCTAGGCTTTATTTATAGGAACTGAATTAAACCCTCCAGTATGTTGCCTTGTTAGACTTTGGGAGCCCAATTTTCCTGTGTTTTTGAAATAGTCCTCCTTAGTTGGATTTTGTAGCCTGGAAGAATCATCTAACTTCATTTGATCCAGAATCAGACAAAGAAGTGTTTAAGTACTATTTGAACTGCATGTGCCTCTAGTTCAGGAGTACTTCAGATATACCCAGCCAAGGGTCACTTGCAAGCATCTATTGATGGGGGTCTCACATCTTCCTTCCCCTCCAACTTTGGAGGAGCCATACCACATTAGATCCTTCAAGGATCAAAAGTCTGTGTACAAGTTATATGGGAAGGTAATTACTTCTCCATCTGTCTGCTTCTTTCTTTCTCCATTCCCAAGTGAAATTGTGCTAATGCAAAAAAATCTTTCTGTGTTGCATGTATGTGACGGCACCATCTTGTAAAAGAAGTTCTTTCCTGTTCTATGGTAGGAAAACTTTTTTTTTGTTTTCTTTTTCAGGTTTCTTGAGATTCATTTTTGTGTTGTAGCTGAAAACATTGTGAAATAGATTGCACCTTAAACCTTTTTCACATTTTGCCTGCCATTCTCTGAGCTCCTTTCATTTCTCTCCTTAAGTGGAATGTATTAAGTTATTCATAGATAATTAACTGCTCGTTTACGTTTTGGTTTGATTTCTCTCCTGTTTTTTATTTAATTTTAATTTTATTTATTTATTTTATTTAAGAATACAAGGTAGTGATTTCTTTAAATGCTAGGTTCAAATTTTTTTTGTACTAGCAAGTATTCCTTTGAATAAGCTTCAGATCATTTGCCGATAACTCCTCTTTCATTATCTGACTGCAGACAAGTAATAAGCAGGAAACACGCAGTTTTACCTGGAGCAGTGCTTCACTCTTCCTGCAGGGCCAGGCCACAGGTTAAGAATAAGCATATCCACTTAGAAAATGTCCAGCATTTGTTGTGTAACTGATAGAATTGGTTGGCAATGAAGTCCAACCTCGTGGAATATACAAATCTAAGTGAAAACATCTCAAAAAGATGGTTTCCAACCTCTGTCCAAACACCTTCATCAACAGCAACACTCTGGACATCACCCACAGTCAATTCTGGTGAGATGGGCAGCTATTTAAATTTAATAAATAAACACAGCTCCCTCAGCAAATTGCTCTTATTCAATTAAGAATTTGTTTCTAATGCTCAACTCAGGAATCTGTTTCCCTGTAACCTCAGACCATTATTTTGTATCCTACCATCCGAGATGTCAAAATAGGTCTTAATTTTCTGCTGTGCCCATGATATTTCAGATATATGAAGAATGCATCCATATTCCTCTCGGCTGTCATTTTTTCAAAGCTAAATATGATATGGTAAAATAACCTCTTGCTTTGATTAATTTTCAGGTTCCTCTGAACACTGTGAGGCTTACACAGATTCTGATGGATTTTGGCATCCACAGCAGACTTGCTCAGAATATTGTTGTGGAACCTGCACTCATCGTTATTGTTGCTCAGACCGCTTTAAAAAAAATGATCAGTTTATTTGTTCCATGAAAAGGTATGATTGGAAATGACTGCACAAAGTTTAGGGTGTTGTGAGGTGGTTTAAATTCTGGAGAGGATACTGAAGTTAGAACATAATTCCATGTTCTGCCTTTGCTGCCAGTTTATCTTGTTCATTTTCCCAGCCCAAGAGAATAATAAAAAGAGGCTTGGCACTACTGTCTGTCCATCTGTCTGTCCTCACTCTATCCCAATGTTTTTCAACCTTGGCAACTTCTACATGTGTAGATTTCAGTTCCCAGAATCCCTCAGTCAGCAACCGCAGCCTGGCTTAATGGCTGAAGAATTCTTGAAGTTGAAATTCATACATCTTAAAGTTTCCAAAGTTGAAAAACTTGCTTAAAGTACTCCTTCCTGTTTGAACTACAAGCATTAAACAGGGCAGTCCTCCTGGGTTTGGCCCTGTGGAGCTGGTTATAGTCAGTCTAGTTGCGGGCCTTGCCTAAATAAGCCTGGCTGGGGAACTCTGAGAGCTGAAGTCCACTCAACTTAAAGTTGCCAAAGTTGAGAAATACTGACCTAAATTTACCTACTATGCCAATTGCATTTATTTCTGGTTATAATGCCATGCCCTTACTTATATCAGAACTGGAGCCGAAGAGAAATTTTCATGTGGCCCATAGCACAATTGCTATTGTCAATGCTGCTAACATCGGATGTTCTTGCTTGACAAAATATGAAGATGCAGACATTTTCTATTTAACCTGTGTATTACTTTTAGAGTTAAAATTAGATAGTTAATGGAAGGGAGGGGGGAAGAATGTACTTGCACTAGTTAGCCATAACAATATCTCAGTAGAGTATTTTCAAGGTTAGTTGTAATGAGAGAAGATAAGGGGAGAGAAAGTTCATACTTCAAACTAATTGGAGAATGTGATTAATGACTGTTAAATGAAGGAGTGAATTATGCTTTGTTACGGGTGTGTTGGGGGAGGAGAATTCAGATTTTGGCTTCACTATGTAGGTGCCGAAGCTATGTAGCAATTAAAAAGATTCCCAAGGTAAGCAATGCCTCAAAGTTCTTTGAAGAGCTTCTTCTTTCGGAACCATGACATCTATATTATATGACACCCATAGTAGCATGTATGAATCCAAACACTTTTCCAGACTGCATCTTCCCACACAATCCTATACAAACCTAAGTACAAAGGTCCCCAGTTTTTTTGAGCTGGTGGAGATTTTTGAGAATAGATTGCATGGACTCTCAGAAAATGACCATTGGGGAGAATTGCCCAGCTGCAGACCTTACTGTAGATTTACCAGAATGTTACCTGCCATCCCACTAGCTTCCTACTTTTCTTTGTCGTAATTTGGGTATACTTTATTTTCAAAGAAAGCTTAGTTGGGGCTCAAGAATTTCTGTAAATGAAATTCTATTTGAAACTGGAACATTGCTTTATAAGACCTCTTTTACTACATTACTATAGGAAGCACAATTTAAAATTTTAAAATGTGAAAAGAATAGGCATCAAGGAAGATTTTTGCAAATAATTATGTCAGTGATCCTGGCTTAATACCTGATGACACTTATTCTCTTTATCTTAGAATCACAGAATTGACAAGTTCGGTACAATAATCCACATTAAAGTATCTCAGTTGTGTGCCACTCCTCCTTTCAATGAAATAAAGTCTTAGTTTGATAGATACAGTGGAGATTTTTTGTTTACTTACTTACATTTTAACAGGTTTTCCTGCACACAACAGTTTTTACACTAATTACACAATTATAAAAGTGATGTAAATCAATGCAAGTGATATCAATCTGGATTTCGCCAATGCTTGTTTCTTCCCAATACACCATTAAGTCTTTTTTTCCCCCTTTAATTGTTTCTGAGGACTGTTGTCAGTCATCTTGAGCATTATCAGGATGTGTTATATAAGCACTATTGGTTATATAGCATTTCTCATCTTTTGTTAGAAAAGGGTAACTTAAATACTGTTTTATTTAATATTTGAACATCTTTTAAAATGTTTTCTTTTTACTCTTGTTGCTATAGCACATTTCCATCTTTCAAGCCTGAACCATTCAAGATGGACCCAGATTTTGAAGATCTATATTCATCTGATTTCAGGTACACATATGTAAAAATTCCATGCAATTAGAAAGGAAATATCCTGTATTATCTACATATGCTTCTTTTTATGCTGATGATAATTCTTTTGACCAATCTAAAGTAAAAATGTAAGAGAAGTTAACCACGCTAACATAAAAGCCATGTGTGTCTTAACACTATAAGGACAGTAGCTGTAGACTTAAAAGACAAAAAGGTGGGAGCTACATCCTGCTCTAAAACCAAAAGCTATAAAGCTAAAAGAATAAGCTGCAGCAGCTTGCTGCGTATTTGCACTTTGAAAGTTAGAGAGCCGTGAAGCCTTGCCTAGGTCGTTTTGGCACTCTGCAACTATTCTGCCATTTTTAAGAGGTATGCAGGTAGTCTTCAAGATAAAACTGGTCACTTTATAGCAGCGGTTCTCAACCTATGGGTCGCGACCCCATTTGGGGTCGATCGACCATTTCACGGGGGTTGCCAAGCAAGGCTGTCCGCCATTTTTTTCCCCCTTTTCCGGCAGGTGCCTTACCTCCCTTGAGCTGGGACAGCTGGTGGTCGGCCTGCTCCGTCTCTGCCGCTTGCCAGCTACGCCTCGGCCGGCGCAGGGGGTGGAACCACACATGCGCGGCGCTCCCGGGCAGGGAAAGTCCTTGACTTACGACCGTTTAGGTAGTCCTCGACGTACGACCGGTTTAGTCCTTGACTTACGACCGGTTGGGGGTCGTGGCATTAAAAAGGTTGAGAACCACTGCTTTATCGTCATTCGAAGTTATGACAAACTCCCCTAAAGATACCTACAACCCTCTTTTCAGACTTACAGTGGCTGCAGCACCCTGCAATCATTCACCTTTACAGTTGGCCACAGGGTGCAGCAACGCCCCCCGCCCTAGACCTTTCTCCTCCTCCTTCCTCTTTCCCTGCAGCACTTGGGCCTGTTCCTCAGGCCTCCTAGAAGCAGCCACCATTTTCAGCAAAGAATTCCAACAATTCTTTGCAGCAATGACAGCTGCCTTTGGGAGCTTTCTGCCCTGATCAGCTGGCCAAACTATATATCTTTGGTAGGAATAGCCCTGCCGGCTGTGAGAAGGAGCATGGCACGAGATGTGGAAAGGTATTAACGTGATCTGGCACACCCGTTATTTAGCCAAGTACCCCTCCCCCCCCACAAAAAGATTGAAATCAAGAAGGAGCTTTTTGGATTGCGCCAATGAGATTGTTACGACACCTCAAAAAGAAACATTAAAGAGATGGAAACTTCAAGTTAAACCTCTTCATAATCGGATAGAACCGTTTGAGGAGTTGCCTGGAGGTTCAGAAGAGGAGTGGGTGGTTTGGAGATGTTTAAATAAACGGTCCACTGGTTGGGCTAGAGCTAAAGGCCACGTGGGGAAATGGGGTTTTTCTCCTTGAGGACAAGGATATTTACTGTGAATGTGGCAGTATTCAAACAACTGTCCATCCTTTACGGTGCCCTCTGGGACCAACATGCACACAGAATGACTTTCTGGTCGGAAATACCCCTGCCATCAACATGGCTCGACATTGGGTTAGAACAGGGGTAGGCAACCTTGGCTCTTTTATGACTCGCATAAGCTGACTCAGGAATTCTGGGAGTTGAAGTCCACGAGTCATAAAAGAGCCGAGGTTGCCTACCCCTGGCTTAGGGGAAGCCAGCTGCATGCATGGAAAGGCTGCAGCTTCTGGATGAGCTTCCCCAACCTTCCCTTCACTTAACCTTCTCCCTCCCGTCCTCAGAAGCTCACATTTCTTCAGTGAAGAAAACAAAAAAAAAGCTGGGAGAGACAGATTTGTTGATCTTTACACACACACACACACACACACACACACACACACACACACGAACACAGGAACTTAGGTGCTGAAACAACTCTCCACCTCTGCCCTCCAATCTCAATCCGTTTTAACAACTTAATTTGCTAAATTTACTGCATGCCTAGAAAAAGGGTGAAGAAATATATGAATTGTTTACCTTGATGAATGATCGCCAGACTGAAGGACAGAGGAAAGAAAGGAAACAAGCGAAGAAAATCTTTCTGCAGGTTGTTTTGCCTTGAAGAGTTGAGGAAAAAGTTTAACTCAAAAGAAAAAGCTACAACACAAATGTGCATCAAATAGCCATGGCAAACGCTGGATCCTAAAGGGAGTCAGAAAGGCAGCAAAAAACTTTCCAAAAGTTTGGAATTATGGCCATCACAGCATCCTAAAGATATGTGATCACCATTTGGGCACTTCCCATCTGGTACACATTTATAATAATAATAATAATAATAATAA